CCTGCCCCTGGGCTTTCTGAAGTAGAGACTTTGCCTTTTTACTGTTACAGTGGAAATGTAGATTAAAGGTTTAAGGGGGTAATGTGTGCGGCCTAATAGTCATCTGTGTGTAATTATATTCTGTCGATTGTGATGATAACTCCAGAGCATGGTCCCTTCCAGCGAGGGAGCCCGTGCTGGGACTGCTGGCTCCACAGCGAGCGGGTCCCAGGTGTCACTGGTGGTGACTCCCCTGAAATCCGGTGGCTGCTAACACGGGGTCCTCTGTACTTGTCCCTAGGAATAGGTTAGAGTCTCGCAGCAGAGCCCGTGGCTATATTAAGGATGTTGTGTGTGTGTTCGGGCACACCGCTTGGCTCAGTAACTGTGCCAGGAAACAGATAAGAGCCGCTGGTTATCAGGCAGGCGGTAGAGTGTGATGTCATGGAAGTCGTGGAGAGATACAGGGGATGCTGTAATCCACAGTGAACAGCTGCATTAATGGAGATGTGATGTCGTGTGCTTGACGGCGTCTGGGACTACCAGAAATAGAAACTGCGTTGTCCGCAGGAGAACTAGGTCCAAGGCGCGTGGTCTGAGGAGTTTGCTGGAGGAGCAGCAGCCCCCTCGCGTACGTCTGACCGCCGAAAACCAAGGACCGATACTGGCAAACCGCAGAGCGGCGCTGAAGCAGAACTGTGTGGGCACCAAGGCAGCACCTGCTCGAGCAGATGGCAGCTGTGGGACGGGGCGAGGGGCAGCAGAGCCCCCCAGCACCCTGGGAACACGGCGGAGCGGGCAGCTGGGCGGGAAACATGGAGTTGTTGAGGCTGTGTAATATCCCAAGCCAAGCACCTCATGGTGCCGTATCAGAAACGCTGTCAAACATGTGGTTACGTACTACAGCAAACAGACTGATCACCTGCACGTTAGGTTTTCTGCTAAACGTTCACCTGTGGATGCCTTCCTAGGTGTTGAGGTAAGTATCGAGGTGTTAATTTGTGGTGGCTGGATACCTGTGGCATGTTGCTCCTCCACTGTTTCCCCACTGTGTAGCAGCTTTTTGGATCGTGCGGTTTGTCTTTGCTAGTGCTTACGTTAGTGCTTACTCCAATTAGTGCTTTGATTTGCTTGTGCGTTGTGGCACAGACAGCGGCAAGATTGATGATAAACAGCTTCTGCCAGTTCTGTCTTCATGTCTCTGTTGCGGCTGAACACAAATTAGCTGAGGACACTTATTCCCTTCCCCTCTCTCTCCTTGTCTCTGCCTGACAGTGTGTTCAGTCAGATTGTCCTCCCTAATCCTGACTGCTCACCTGCGTGTCCGCAGTGTCACAGAGCCTGCAGGGTGACAGAGCTGTCAGTTCAGACCCGCCGCAGCCCACTTGTCTCGCTCCAGTGTCTAGCAAGATGCAGGAAGGCTGCCTGCATCGGGCAGAGGTTTCTTCCGTGTTTTGGTGACCAGAGATGGAGGGAGAGATGCAAGAATTGTAGCGTTACCGTGCATTTTCAGGGAAGTTCAGTAGGTGTTTGGAGAGTGATTCAGGAGCTGGAATTTTCCATTAGTTTACAAAGACTTCAGAGAAAAAAGGAGTAGGTTTTCAGTCCCTCTGTCATACGTCTGTGGCAGCGAGCGGGTTTAGCTGGAATGTAGCTTCACTAAGGTCACCTCTGCTTCTCCCTCTCTCCGTACTGACATAGTTCTGTGCTCGCCAACTGTCAAGGCTGTGGTACGCCTGGATGAGGCCCAGCATCCTCTCAAGGGCGGTGAGGTTGGAGAAGAGACCTCTGTGCAGCTGCCAGCGCCTGGAGAAGTGCCCCGTTAATAACCCGGACGGGCCTCGGACAGCAACGCCCTCTCCCCCCGGGGCCCGGCACAAAACAGGCAGTTCTTCAGGAGGTGTTGAGCCAGAGCAGAAGGGGAGAGTGGGATGCACGCTTACACTCACTTTAATACTTAGAGAAACTGTCTACGGTGGTGGTAGTTTCTACTGCTTGGGCTGTCTGCAGGAGAACCGGGTACGATGCCGCGGTAAGCACAGACAGGGCAGAGAAGTGGGGATTTTTTGTATTTTCTACAGGATTCTTTACATCTCTTAGAACGTAAAGCCATTTTAATTTTGACTTCAGTTGTATTTTGTGGAGTCGTGTTCTTTCAGAAGCGATTCAGCGTGTTCATATACCTCTGACCATGCACACCCTGCAATGATATTGCTGTGGTTGCGTGTGTGGGACATTAGGAGCCCATGCTCTGCCATTTCCTAAAGGAGCTCTTCAATTCCACCGAGCTTTGTACCACTTGCAAACCACACCAGTTTCTTTCCATGATAGCTTTCCCCTGGAGTTGTTTTGGCTGTACCTTTGCTCAGTATCTTGGTGCTGGGTGCAGTGAACGAGGGAGCGTTGTAGTTTAGTGTTGACGTTTTCTGAAAAGCGGAGAGAAAACAGCAATCTTGTCCTAAAAAGAGCAAACTAAAAGGAGAAGCCAGTTGGCTTTTCCGCCACCACGATAAAGGGTTTTTCTTCTGCATCCATTGCTATTTCCAACTCCCCCTCAAGTCTCTACCCCCGAGGAAGCTTTGCCTGCTTCCCTGTTTGCCTCTTCTCCGTCCTGCCCTTGGGGAGGATGAAGGGATGGATGTCCCACCTCCTGAGGGGAGGGCAGATGCCATTTCATTCTCAGCCTGAGTTTTAGGTGCTGCTTCCCTCTGCCTGCTGCAGAGCTCCAAGCCAGAGCAGGCTCTAAACTGCTGCGGTTTTCCCTCCCTGAACTCCCTCCCGCCTCGCTTCACCTTCCTACGGGAGCTCTTGCAAACTCCCTTTGCAAAGAGGATGAGGCAAAAAAAAAAAAAAGAAAAGAGACCTCGCGCTCTGCACAAGCTTCCCGGTGCGAAGATCATCCCCTTTCTGCAGAGAAGCCCTGGTCTGTGCCCCGAGACGGGGCTGGAGGTGGGTGCTCAGCAGAGGCACCTCGCTGGCCCGGGGAGATAAGGGGGCAGGCAGGGACCTCCTGGGCTGCTGAGCAAGGACACAGATAGGAGGGAACGTGACTGCTCTGAAGTCGGGGTTTGGGGTGGGGCTTCCTTTATTTTAAATTTTGTTTTGGCGGGAGCTTTCTGCGTGTGAAGCGTGAAGCAGAAACTGGGAAAACTGTATTTGTCCCCGAATCGATCTTACTGGAGGATCCTGATACTTAAACACTGTTGCATTAAGATATGCATCTTTTCCTTTAAAATGGCTTTCTTGCTGCCTAAATTTCGCAGAATGTTAGAAGTTGGAAGGGACCTCTAGAGATCGTGGAGTCCAACCTCAATATCAAAGCAAAGAGGTTTCTCGATAGCTTTGTTTTTTGTTTTTGTTTCCCCCAGTGGTATAGATATATGTTGGATCAGGAGCATTTGACTTGATCTTTGGTTTCTTCTAAGCAGCCTGAAATTCTTCTGCAAGACTTCTATGTAGTCATTCCCTATCATAATTCTTCTAGGAAAATTGTAGAGTCTTGGAAAATGTATTTCCTGTCTAACGCTGATCCTCCTACTCTCAATGAATCACTTGTATTCTGGTGTTGCTTTGGGCTGACTTCCCTATTGACTTCAGGGCCTGGGATTTAATTAGAAATCTCGGGTTGTTATTTGGAGCTGTAAAACTACATAAGATTCCTCTCTGTGCAGCGGGATTGCAGTAATAAAAAAAAAAAAGTAAAATTAAATAGTTGCATATTAACTGTCCTTGGTGTGAAGAGTTACTTCATGTTTCTGCATTCACCACTCTCGCAGACTTCTTTTTATCCCGCCCTCAGCATAAAGCAGCACCTCCTTCCTTTCCAAACCTGTAAATGAACCATGCGCAGGATAAAGTCTTTGTTTCCCGTGGAAGAGTGGCTTTTCCTACTTATTTTATGGGGGAGAAATAGCCTCCAGAAATTTTCTCCCGGTGGGAGAATGTCTGGATGGGTGGGTGGGTGCAGCCTGGGCAGTTGCAGTCCTTGGTGGCAGAGCTTCCCCAGAGCCAGGAAAACTGATTGCTGAGAGACTCCACTCCTGGAAGGCTGACCTGGCTTTGGGGCAAAAAAGAGCAGTTTTGTTCGGGGCGGGGCTTATTTAGGAGCTCTTTTCGCATGGATGCTGCTTGTCGATTGCAAACAGCACCTGTGAAAAGAGCAGTTTAAAAACAACGACAAAACCCCACGAGCTGTAACTTGGTGGATGCGCTTGTGGACAGCCCAGCATCGGCTCTCGGCCAGGTCCTGTGCTGCTCGGGCCCCCGGGGGTGTTACCTTCCCCTCGGCCTTCGAGCTTCCCTCCTGCGGGAGGGTGGGGGCGATAAGGGATATTCTGCCAGGGCAGCGACCGCTCACCGAACCTCCCTTTTCAGCATCATCTCACACATCTCCTGTCATTCCCCAAGGAGTTGCCTCCCTGGAGAAGATCTTCGGCTGGTCAAGCTCCCCTGGTGAGGAGGGGTGAGGCTGGAGGACTCCAGCAAGACCTGGTTTAGGATCAGCGGTACCTGCTTTAGGTTTCAGGAGCAGACGGTGATCTCTCCACGCTTGGAAGAGCTCGAGTAATTTCTGAATGCAGGGAGAAGCTGTTTTAGTAACTGATCTTACGTGGTAATAGCACACGTGTTACATGGAGCATCAAAGTCATAGGGTAGTTCAAAAATAAATAGACCTGTTCCCTATTTTTTAGAATGCTTATTGCATTTACCAGAAACGATGCTGCTTCTAACAACCGAATCGGTCAAGCCGGGATTAATGTTTCTGAACTGTTTATGGTGTTTATAGAATGACACTAAGGTGGGCAGCTGAAGCGAAGCCAAGTGTCTCTGTTTCTGAAATGCCAGCCTTACCAGCAAAAGGAGGCATCAGACACCAAAAATAGCCTTTCGCAGGCAGGCTTGCTGCTTTACTGGAGCACCTTTCATTTTTTGCCCAATCTGTGTGACCCTTTGCTTACGAGTGCAGTTTTTATCCTCCACGCGGAACGTCTTATGCCCATTTTGCATTTTTCTCTTTCCAGGTTAAAGAACTTGTTCTTGACAACTGTAGGTCATGCGAAGGCAAAATCGAAGGCCTCACAGATGAGTTTGAAGAGCTGGAATTCTTAAGTACAATCAACGTAGGCTTAACCTCAGTTGCAAACTTACCAAAGTTAAACAAACTTAAGAAGGTAAATAAAACATCCTATGCCATATCCCTCCCTCTTTGCAGTCAAATGTAAATATGTAAAATAGTTGTTCACATAAAAACCTGATTTAGCTGACCTTACTGCTTTGTGATACGTGTTTGCACTAAAAACTCAAGATGTTCCTGTGCCTTCTAGCTCGAGCTAAGCGACAACAGAATCTCAGGAGGACTGGAAGTGTTGGCAGAAAAGTGTCCGAACCTCACGCATCTAAATCTAAGCGGCAACAAAATAAAAGATCTCGGTACAATAGAACCTCTGGTAAGTCGATGCGGCGCAGCGTGAAATCCAAACCTCGTTTGGTGTCAAGTAGTAGAGGCACGATGGGCTTGGAAAGTCCGAAGCAGCTTGTTGTGGAGCATCTCTGGGGTGCTGATCTCTCCCGGTGGGTTGTGGTGGGGCTCAGCCTTGCCCCGGGGCTCGCCTGCAGCCTGAGTGGCTGCTTCCCTCTAGCGGCTGCTGCTTCGGGGACCACCGCAGCTTTCCGGGCTGCGGGTCTGCCTCCCAGACGCTCACAGTCCTTGCGCGTCATATTTCAAGCGCTGAGATCGAGTTTGTCGGGTTGCAGTTGTAAAAAGCATCCAAATGTCCATTCTGGTAGGGCAAATTTCTAGGTTTTACCTTGTGTGGCCTTTGCTCTCCAGAAGTAAAGGGGTTTGGCTTGGAAGGGGAGAGAGCAGAGCTGTTAAACACGTGTAGCAGACAGATCAGAGAGGCGATTGTAACTGCTCCCAGTTTCAGGCTTATTGTTTTCTTGATGTCTCCACCGCTCTACGCGCTAAACTCCAGAAGGGATGCATTTCGTAAGACTTGATAGAAATCCTCGACTGCTGGTGCTTTTGTTGTTAGTACTTCCCAGTGCTGTGGGCAATGCAGAACACCTCCTCCTCAAATCAAATAAATCAAAAATTAAAAGCAGGAATTAAATTCCTGTTCAATTTCTAAACCTTTTTTTGCTTTTCCAAAGGCTAAGGTACAACCATTAAAACTTTGAAAACCTCTCTTAGCAAAATTCTTATGTCCGAATAATGGTCTGCTTCTTTTTCCTTCAAAAATTGTAGTTTAAATCTACCTGACTGCTGGCTCCACTCCCTTCACTTGTGCTTTTGGCGTAACTGGCTGGACTACTTTTTATTCTTGGCTTGGCAGGGACCAAAATGACCCTTTTGTCAGAGGAAGCTCTTGAGCACATTAACTCTGGTTGCTGTTGCTTGTTGTAGAGAATTATTCTAACCCCGAACTTCAGAGGCTTTTCTTCCTTTGCAGAAAAAGTTAGAAAACCTGAAGAGTCTAGATCTTTTCAATTGCGAGGTAACCAACTTGAACGATTATAGAGAAAACGTATTCAAGCTCCTCCCGCAACTCACATACCTCGATGGCTACGATCGAGACGACAAAGAAGCGCCGGACTCTGACGTAGAGGCCTACTTGGAGGGCTTAGAGGACGAGGAGGAAGATGAAGATGGTATGTGAATTGTGCTACTTAGAGTACGTAAGTTAAAAGATCGATTGTGCTGCCTAGTACATTTTGCTTCCAGTCTGACTTGTTGGCAAGAGAAGGATGTTCTCGGCAGCTCCTTCCTGACTGATGTAAAGGAGAAGTACCTCAGTGTGCTCTGAAGGAACGAGGGGAAAGGAGATGGGCAGGGCCTGAAAAAGCTACTTTCTCAGTCTTATCTCTAGTGAAAGATCGGGATGACAAAGAAGCGCCGGACTCGGATGCAGAGGGCTACGTGGAGGGCTTAGACGACGAGGAGGAAGACGAAGATGGTATGTGAATTTGTGCCTCCTGGTGTACATACGCTGAAAGATGGATGTGCTGCGTGGTGCGTTTTGCTTCCAGCTCTGGCCTGTTGGCAGGAGAAGCGTGTTCTCAGCAGCTCTCTCTAACTGCTGTACAGCAGAAGTACCTCGGTGTCCTCTGAAGGAACGAGGGGAGAGGAGATGGGCAGGGCCCGAAGAGCTTCTCTCTCAGCCTTAGCTCCGGTGAAAGGGTGGTAGAAGAAAAGGGCCAGGAAGAAGAGTAAGCCAGGAGTAAGAGTTCAGGGAACAGTAAACCCAGGGGATGAGGACGTGAGGGAGAAATGGCGATGAAAGGGCGGCGTGCACACGCTGCGGTTTTCCAGGAACTGTGTGAACAGGGAAGTACGAGTAGTTGTGCAGAGCGAGAATGGTGGGTGGAGGGCCAGACTGGGCACCGGGAGGAGTAGCTGAGTCAAGGAATTAAGTAAAGGAGCTGAGGCATTAGTCGGAGCTTGTAGCTGCTATGTGAGGGCAAAATGAACAAATGGAGATCTGGCAAAAGAGAGCAGAGTGTGTGCGTTGAAGCCTACCCAGCTCCGCGAAAGGCACTGATGAAGCAGTGATCCGCTTTGTAAGTTAAGGGAAAGGTCCCGCTGGGCTGTGGGTGCCTCCCCGGCAGACTGCGCTCGGAGGCAGCGCCGTGCCGGCCGGGTGAGCATCCGGCTGAGTTTGGGGAATTTGCTAGACTCTTCAAACCCAGCTGCGCAGCAAAAGCGGAATAGCTGCACTCGCACTTTTCCCTCGAGTGCTGAGTGTGAGCTCTGGGGCGAGGGGCGAGCGCTGCAGCGGTGCCTGGCGGAGCAGCGTGTGCAGCCGGCAGCGTGAGGGTTCTCCTCGGCAGAGCACGAGTCTGGGCCCCTGTTCAAACGCACAAAAAAGCTCCGAAACACCATTCGTTGCAGCATGGAACCCCCCCGCCATGATTTCTAGTTTGTTGCGTTTCATCTCCTTCCTCTCGAAAAGAGATTGCAAAGCCGAGCCTCTTGCGTTGCTCTGGCAGCAGAAAGGCGAGGGGTGTCCCTCAGGGGAGCGCTCCCAGTTCCTGCTTGGCTCCTAAAGTTGTGCTCTGTCCCTGGTGGGAGCAGATGGACGCTTGCAGATGAAGAGTTCCAAGTTGTCCCACGGGCTCAAAAATGCAGATTAGAAGTTGAAACTGGAGCAGCTGAAGCTCAAGCAGCCCTGAGGCTGCCGTGACTTCACTGCTGAGGCCCCTGCAGGCTTTGAGCAGCTCAGGCCTGGGGTGCAGCTGCCACACGGCCCTGTCACCAAGGCGCAGGACAGCATCTAGCCCTGACCAGCAGCTGCAGAGCTGCCTTTAGCGCTGTCTCGCCCTTAAGCAGTGCTCGCAGTTTGCTCCCTGCATCAGTAGGAGGTCGCGTCTCAGGTGGCGGTGTTGGGGGGGAAAAAGGAAATTTCAGACATCTGAGTGCTTAATCTTGTTTGTGTAGAAGAGGAGTATGACGATGATGCTCAGGTAGTAGAAGATGAAGAAGATGAGGAGGAAGAGGAGGAAGGAGAAGAGGAGGACGTGAGCGGAGAAGAGGAGGTAAGGATTTATGCAGTTGGTAATGGATAGGTGTGGAGTGACCGTGGGCTAACTGGGAAGAGTCAGGCGAGAAACATGAAATAATTGGAGGCTTTTAACACTTGAATCCTCTGCTCGCTTCTTCTCTTGAGAAGGATCGCACTGTGAGGGGGGTGGCTTTGAGGCGTGCCTGTCTGTGAGCCAGCTGCCATCTAGTGACCGCTGCCATGAAATCATCCTGGGTTTTGGGCTGATGTCAAAAATACTCTGAGGAACATCTGCAGACCTGGTTTGTGGGGCCTTTGAAGGGCTGGGGTTACAGACGAGGACATGAATTACCACCGCTGTGCTCTCAGAGCAAGGTTTCTCCTCCGGGCACACACCTTGGGATTCCTCAGGAGGCTTCAGTTCTTAGCAAGGCGCAGCTCCCGTGGGTGGGGTGTGCTGAGCCAGTCAGGTATTGAAAGGTGTTTCCATAAATAATTCTAAAGTAATCTATCTAAGGATTAGAAAAGCTTACTCAAAACTTTGTAGTAAGTCAACGCTGGGAAGGGGGGAAAAATTTGACTGTAGGAGGTTGTGTTGTCTGTCCTCCGGCCAAGCAGTCTCAGATATTTCACTGCTGGGTGGTTATTTCAACTTCTTCTCAACTCCAGCAGCAGCTCCTCAGACTCTGGAGATGTCTGGTGGTGGCTGAACTCTTTCTGCCCCTAGAACTTGGCCCTTCTCCTACTGACCGGGTGACAAAAGTGGCAGCTGCGGATCAGTGTGAGGTGTAAAACCGACTTGAAGCTGGAAGCGGCTGCGCTGGTTTCTTCGGATTTTCTGCAGTCAGGCGTGGGCCAGAGTCCAGCTACGCTGTAGCAAAAAACTGCACTTCTATAAGTGTGTGGGAAATGTCTGCCTTTTTAGTTGGTTTTTGTTTAATCAAGGACTTTCTGTTGTAAAACACGGTCAGATGTTGCTGCTGTGAAAGGTCCTGCGCTGAAACCGACCTTTGAAATCCTTTTATTTTTAATTCCAGGAGGATGAAGAAGGCTACAACGATGGTGAAGTAGATGACGATGAAGATGAAGAAGAGCCTGGTATGGCAGCAATCCAGTTTTTGCTAGAGATAAAACAATCTTAATTTAAAAAAAAAAGTAAAATGCTATTTTCTAAGAAGCAGGCTCCTGTTTGTTTTCCTGCCCCTTTGCCAGCAAGCCGGTTGCCAAAGTAGAAGCTCGTTGAACTTGTTCAGCTTCTCAGCAGCGTGAGGGAGCACTCGTATGATTCAGGTCGTTTTTTATTTTCCAGGTGAAGAACAGGGACAGAAGAGAAAACGAGAACCTGAAGACGAAGGGGATGAAGACGACTAAACTGATTTAACCTATTTTGAAAATTTCCTATTGTGATTTGACTGTTTTTACCCTGTATTTCCCCTCCCCACACCCCCAACCTTTTTTTTCTTTTTTTTTTTTTTTTTTCTCCTTTCCTGATTGTAATGTTGCTGTGGGAACGAGAGGGAGAAGCAGACTGGGTGGGCAAGGGAATAAAATACTATTTTTACTGCCACTCCTCCTCCTATTCATTTTAAATTTTTTCTTTTTGTCCCTCTCTTAGTCCCTGTAACTGCAATAGTAAGTATAAACCAAGTGGTAATTTGTTTCTTATTATTGGAGTGGATAGTGTGACGTCTTTAAAAGAAAAAAAAAAGACAAAAAAGTTTTCAGATCAGTGGACGCTACCCCAAAACACACATCCTCTGTTCCGAGCCGGCTTGAGAGCATCAGTTGTTGGGATTTTTTCCCCCTCTGCCTGTCACTAAATAAAGTTGGAAGCAATTTTTTTTTCGGGGGATGCCGCAAAAATGGAAGCGAAAGCATCCTTCCACAGCAACGGGTGTGAGAATGGCATCTTGATCAAGCGATCCCTGTGTTGCCTGCCCGCCGA